CAGATTGAAGGTCTGCCACCAAAACTAAATTCAAAGAGAGAACTCTGTGAATTTGTCAGCCGCCTCATCTGTCACGTGACAATTCAGCACACCGCGCTTAATTACGAGCTCGCAGACTACGGTTCCTACGTTCCCGACACGCCAACCAAACTGTACAATGACACCAGAGTAAAGGAAGGGGAGTTCTCGGCTTACCGGCTACCAAACAGAGAGACTGCAGCAGTAAGTGTACCAGGGAAATTTCGCATTGTATTCCAGACCTACCTGTATGTGCACATGATAATGTAAATTATAATATTTAGAGAGGAAGCAACATCAGCCATAGTTGGTTTTCGTGCGGTCCTTCTACCCTGGTCGAATTGGAATTTGGAGATGTTAGTTTCTGTGGAGGAAGGAAAACCACAGAACCCGAAGAAGGAGCAAGGCGAGAACCAACAACAAATTCAACCCACATATGGCACCGGGCCGAAATCTAAATCGAGCCAAATTGGTGGCAGGCGAGCGCTCTCACCACTACACATTACCTTGCTCCCCACAGGAAAAACGCTAACCATGAATGACTTCCATTTGTCTAAGCAATTCAGAAGGGTTTTACATTCCTGATTTTAAATAGGAAAAATAGATTCATCTCAACAACATATCTGATTTCAGCCCAGATTATTGCAAAACATACCTATCTCATACAAAAATAATCAAAATAGATACACAATTAATGACCAAATTAACCCGGTTCAAAAAGCGAACCCTTTGTATTTGGTGCCGCACATACTATATTGCCATATCTTATCACGACGCCGCTCTGCTACTGCTTACCTATCTCAGACAAAAAATAATCAAAAAGATACACAATTATTTACCAAATTAACCTGGTTCAAAAAACGAACCCTTTGTATTTGGCGCCGCACATACTATACTGCCATATCTTATCGAGAAGTTCTGCTACTGCAGTTAATTAGCTTGTTATACTTTAACTTTTCAGCTCCAGGGTGCATTCGTGAATGCACTGGCATCTTTCCGTTACGATACCTTGTTCGACTACCACGACAAGCTAGATGACGAAGAAGCAAAGAAAATTGTCAGGAAATACTATAATCGCTTGAGGGAAACTGTTCAGCCTGATTTGGAAAGAGAGGACAAGAAGCGGCTGGCTAATGGCGATCTTACCTATCCATACTACTTACCGTCTTGGATGCCGAATGGCATTCAGACCTAAAACGTCTTCTTTACATATCGTTTTCGACTTGATTCTAAAACGAAGTGTCACAGGGCATAATAATCAAGGGGTAACAGCCACGTTTTTGGTTGTTGTTGTTGTTTCATGAGATGGCAAATTGAATTAAATCATATGATATGGGACATGATTTGGTATTTCACACAATACTAAGGGTGGTGTGGGTTTTCATTGCGCAGAAATCTTTTTGAAAAGCTGCAAAGGAGACACTTTTAAGCTGATTGTCCTTTGTAAAGCTGGCGTATAAGAGTTTTGACGGGAAATAAAACAAATGTAAAGGGAGACCATTTGACTGCCGCCTTCATTAGCTTTGTTTGATTATTCCTTTCCGACTCCTTCTGTTTAGAGTCTCATTTCCAGTTGCGTAGCTTGCGTCAGTGACTTCATTAAATCCTTTATGGGGAGAGTCGTGTAGCTGACCTTGTTACAAAATCCCTTGAATCTACTAATAATTGTGAGATTGCTTGTTATAACAAAGCCAGCGAATTACGTGCGCGCATTTATGACATCAATAGGCGCACTCCCGTTATCCATGAAATATCGTAAACAAATCGTCAAAATTAGCAATTATTCCAAAAGTGCTCGTTCGATATAAGATGATAGATAGCCAACGAGGCGCGTGGCGCCGAGTTGGCTGTAATCATTTCATATCCAACAACCGCGAGCGGAATAATTGCTCTTTTAAAAAAACGCTCCCAAAGTATAGAAAACTAACCTAAAATAAAATGAAATAAAAATGCCCAGAAACATTACGCGTGCACTTACCATATTTGTAGAGCGTGGTATAGAGTGTGTGCACGTGACGTCATCAAATTCTCAAATCCAAAACTAAAGAGCC